TAGGGATGATGGAAATGTCATCCCTACTATCTTGTTTTCATTGTTTTTGAAGGATTGATATTAGCCATCCCTACATTCACTTTCTTTTATGAAAAGTTATTTCTTTATACTTGTTTAATAATATTATAAATGCCAATTATTTCTTTTTCTTTGAAAACTACTTTTGAGACAGAATGTAAAAGATAAATATTATAGATTAGATGTGGCTCATGTACTTGCACAATCTGAATAAAGCTCTTTTATTTGCTTAATAATGAATTGGATCAGTAATTGTAGGGTTTTTAGTAACATTTTGATTTATTTGTTATGAAAGACATTTAGTTGAAAAGAGTGCCATTTTCTGTAAACATTTTTTTCTTGAATTGTATTACTAATGTTCTTACTTAATTTAGCTACTTAGTAATAAAGGTGATATATTTGTCTGAAGAGCAATTAAGTTGTTTTAGGGATTAGACTAATTATTTTAGAAACAGTTAGTAGTTATTAAAATATTTGTGAACTTTTCAATTTTTGTGGTATAAAATATTTTTTCTTTAATGTTTTAATAAATTAGTTAAAAGTAGAACATGTTAAAGAATATTAAATATAGTTTTAAACTATCAGCATAAACTGTTTCTAGTGTTTAAGCTGTGATGCTTTGGGTTCTTTCAGTTACAAGCACATTTCAGGGATGTTGTTCTGAAGGGAAACCAGGCTGCTGTAGAACCCACCAAAGAGCAGTTTACAGTGAAAGACCCAGATATTCAAGTTGACAATCAAACAACCAAAGTTGGCAGTAACAATAACAACAAAGACACAACTGAAGAAGACTTACCTCTGAGGCACCAGGTGATGTCAAAGGTGATGATTTAAACTTGTTAATTGTAAAAACAAATTTAAGATACATTCCAATAAGGTTTTACTTCTATTCAACAAAGCTATTTCGATATTTGTCTGCCCTCTAAGCATAGCTAAAACAATGTTCTTGATCAGTACACCGGTCTATATACCCCATCAATTTCACGCCACTTTCTGAAACTGTGCATATCATATGACTACTCTCCACCAATAGTATTGCACCACCTGCTCAATCCTCACTTTCTCGATTAGCACAGTATTGTTTAGACATTTGTTTTTGCATGTGGCTACTGTTTATGATGTGCTTCTTTGCCATTTCAATTTTTTTTTTAACAGTTTTATTTTACTGTGTTTGCATTCACTTGTTTCAACAATTTTTTATATATTTTTTGTTACCAAATTACAAGAGATTGTAGTATGAATTTGTGATCAATGTATCGACTACAAAGATTCCCGTTATAGCCGAAAATGCTACTGGTACAACTTCCAAGGAATCAGGTTCAACTATATCTGCCAAGGAGGTACAGGCCTTAATTCGCAGGGAGATCAATTCATATGTTCCGCCATTGATTTCTTCTTTCCAACGTGACAATGTTTCTGAGGAAGAATACAATCAATGAGTAGACACTTTGTACTCTTTTTTTTTTTTTTTCTGGCACCTTCCACCAGTTGCTTTGCCACCAACTCATTCACTTTGGCAGAGAATTGTTCTTCTTTTCCTTTCTTTCTATTAATTTCAGTTCTCCCAGGAGATCTGTGGTAATTTTTTAAACATGTACACTTCACACAATGTTGCTATACCCGTAGTAGGCCCAGTTCAGATACCTTTTGTGTGGCTTTGCCCTTATTTACACAAGGGAGAATTACTTATTTCACATAATAAGTGCCCTGACTTTGGTAAGTTATATATTTATGTGTCCTTCATTATCTAAGTTCTTTAGATGAATTGTAAGTTATATATTTATGTGTCCTTCATTATCTAAGTTCTTTAGATGAATTGTAAGTCAGATATTGATTATGACATTGTTTTTTTGGTAAATTTAATCGTTTTGCACATTCATTAATATTACATACTTTGTAGACTTAGTAACTTTTGTGGGTTTGTTAGTTTGTTATTAATAAGTCTTTACCTACGTATGTTTAAATTGTTTGTCAGTTACATATTACTACTAGTAACATTTAATTCATTGTTCTACTTTAGTAATTTTTTTTTTTCGTCATTGTGAACTACGTGCCTTCTCATCCCCATTTTCCTCAGTGTAGGACTTAATTAAAGTGTCCTTTGTCATATAGGTTACTTTAGAGGAATTGTAAGTTATATATTGATTATTGATGTGTTTTCTAGGTAGTTTTAGTCGGTTAGCATGTTCTTTATTATTACATACTTTGTGGACTCGGTTAATTTATCTGGTTTGTCCATTTGATATTTATAAGTATTTTGTTAACTAAGTATGTTTAGATAGTTTGTACGTTACATTATTACTACTAGCAATATATAACTCATTGTTTTATCTGAATTTGTTTTTTCATAAGTGTTAACTATGTGACTTATCATTCTAATTTTTGTCATTGTGGCACTTAAAATTTTTGCTTTCTTACATCGCGGACATGTTCATTTCTTTCCCATTCATAGGGCTGAGCTTGGTTTTGGCTCCTTTTCCTATGTTTGTGATCCTATAAACCTCATTTTCTCCTCGTAATCTACAATTCAGAGTTTTTGACAACAGTGCCCACTTCGTCGATAGTTATTTATTGCTCTGAGTCAAGTTTTCCTGTTCAGGGCTCTACCTTTTGGACTAACCTTGGCTCTTTAAGTGTTTTGTTGGGGAGTACAAACTCTTACTCGACATCTTCACTCTATGAGTCTTTGCACTCTTCCTTCTATGGATAACTGGCTCCTGTTTGCTTCCTCCTGTTCACAGTCCAGACACCACACTTCTCAGCTCCTACAAGATGCACAACAGGTGAGATTCCTGTTGACAGTGAGGAAGTTTGTGCTTACCCCCTCTGAATACCCCATTCATCTGGGGGAATTTCTTCTTTGGAACCTCAGTTGGGCCCAGCCTTCTCCTCTTTGTCTTCAGGTTTGGAGCAAGCAATTCACACATTTCTCACCTTTTCTTGCGGCTTCAAATGTTCTAGCTCTTTTGGGATGTAGGCTTTCTTGGAAGCTCTCATTCCCATGGGTCAGGCTCATATGAGTTCTCTTTGGTGGACACTCCTTGATCGGTGGAACTTCTCAAATCTCTGGCTTGGTGGTTGGACAGACGGTGGGGTGCTGCTTATTCCACCTCACCGGGAACTCATTAGGCTTTAGGTATTTGGACTTATCCATGGAAGGTCACCATCTCCACAACATTTCTTCACATCACTATGGCCTTGTCTGCACAACTTTGGCTTCCTTTGGAAGAGATTGTTCAAGCCAGAATGTGGACTACTACTAATACCTTTGTTGCTCATTATCTGCATGACTTAGCTGTATCTTCCTCTAGTGGATATTGTCTCCCTCCCATGGTGATTCTACACACATCAGTTTGCCTTTGACTGGGGTGTCTTATCACTTCATTTGATTTATGTTTTTATTTCAGAAACCTCAGCTTTAACTGCTGATAATGGATCCCACTCTGTGGCATGTGTTACCTGGTCAGGTATGCTTTACCTCAGCCTTGCACTATTTACTGATTGCACTATAATGCCCACTGTAGAGATGGGGTGTTTCCACAAGACCAGTAGTGGCATACCCAGTGGTATATATGTACGCTAGATATCAATAATTTTCAATCTCTGGTGGACCGTCACTCTTGGATTTCATGACTAAAGTAAAATAGGATTTCAGCCTCACCCTGCCGACCCTTTGATTGAATAAATTAGGGTTGGGCTGCTTTTCAAAATAGGGAATTGCAGACACCCATTGCACTTTCTCTGGTGTGATGTCCCTCCATACTCCCCACCGTGTTTACTTCTTCCCTTTTTTATTCCAGTGGAGCATGGGAGTCCTTACTACTTCCCAGTCCCTGGGGTGGTGAACCATGGACGCTTCCTCCTGAGTGAATTTAAAAATTTACTTTACCACACATACTCATGATTACATACTGAGAAGAGGGTACAGCTGGTTTCCCTCTTTCCATTTCCCCTAGATGCTTTTTTCCCTAGGTGGACAAATGTCGGTTGGAGGAGTTCGGCCTATGTGAGATCCTCCTCATAATGCCAGGTTCGGGATGACAACGCCCTGTTGGAGCCTGCCAGTTCTGGAAAGTGAAGATTGAGTAAGAATAGTATAGGAAACTAGCTGCACCACTATAGGTTGAGCAATACTATTGGTGGAGAGTAGTCACATGATATGTACATGTTCATAAATAATGTGAAATTGATGGAGTATATAGACTAGTGTGCTTATTACAAAAATTTTTTTACCAATGCTTAGATAGCAGAAAAAGATCGAAAGAGCTTCATAAAACTGTATCTGAATAGATTCGTGCAATAAACTCCTGCATTTGATACGACCTCGTAACCACTATGAAACCATGAAGGTATATATACTATAACTCTGAAAATACATAATACATCTTTACAAAATTTGGTAAGCTTTGTGTAAGAGGTGGTAAGTACCTGTGGGAAATATATTTTTTAGAATTTATTTTATGATAATTTATAGTTAAAACATTACATGTTTACAGAATGAACAAATTGGGTACGAGACCAAGATAGAAAATGTGTCATGTGAAGATTTAAAAATAAAAAGATGGCAAGACAGGCAAATTTACAAAATATCCTAAAAACCTAATATTAATATGCAGTAACCATGTCATCAACCTTTACCACTTTTACCTTATTCACAGCTAGACTAGAAAAATCTTTAAAATCCAATGTAAAGTGGGTTTTAATAGGCTTTCATTTTTAATTATGACTGATGGGGCATTTGACCCACTGATACCAAAATATTTAGTCATTATCTTTAATACAAGTACATATATTGGTATATAATTTACTCAAAGGATGTTAATGTTTGGAAAATATACAAATAATCTGTATTTGTGGAGTTTCAATACTGAACAATATGGTGTACAATAGGTTCAGCTGCAGTAAGATGCAATTAAACCTCAAAAACATTTAACATTATTCTTTGAATTTATCTTAATTAATACAAATGTTGAATAGTCAAACATTTTTTTATATCTGCAAAACAGCATTTAGAAATGTTTATTGCTCATAAATGACATTAATGTTACTGTAATTGTAGTGAAGAAAAAATATTTTCATTTGTAACAGAACAGTATAATTTCAATAAAAATAAATACAATGAATTTTTTAACATATGCATATTTAGCTAAAATCTTCAAATATGTACATACATATTAATTATTGAAGCATTTTCAGTATATTTACTTATAAACTCAAGAAATATAATTTCTATGACACTAGCTTATTTAAACAAGTACACTGATTAGTAAAGATTGTCTCTAAATAGAACTTGTAGAAACAACTTCATTTAGATGAAGGGTGGTTCTAAATTACAGATATTGCAAGAGGAAATTCTTTCATAACAAAGGACAGGATTTCATGATTATTAGTTTGTTGTTGAACTTACTTAACTGTTATTTTGGAAAACTGTCTTTCAGCTTACCCTATAGGGTCATTTAAGAAAGTTGTACATCTGTTTCAAATGCTAAGATGTATCATTGACCCAAAACCAGCAATCTCTGTGCAAAAGTTACCTGCAGAATCTTAAACTGCACTGAAGACTTGTAGAGTACCACCTGGAAATGATATCCCATTTATATGTATATGATTTACATAACTGTTTTCATTACTATTTTATATGTAAACAGATATGACTATGTCCTTCATGATAAGTACCTGCAAAATAACACCAGAATTTTTGTCATCAGAATTTGTGACTAAATACCTATTAAAATGAATATATTCTTACTTATGATTAACTGAAATAAACTTAGAGTGTTTGTGAGTATAAAAAAAAATTCTGGGAACAAAGCTCAGGGTGC